TTCAAAACAAAAGAAAACTGGTGTACATGTTCATTTTGCTATGTGCAGTCATATCTTGCCATGCATTTATGGATGTAAATTAATGTCTTTCTAAAGGCTGATTAAAATATGAACATTTTTACTGTATTTCAATTAGTTTCTTCCAGTCTCAAAAAGTTTTATTCATTTCTTCACTCCAAAAATATTATTTAAGTTCAAAAGTTTGATTATTTGAGTAAATCGTAAGGTTGTATTGTATTAATGGAACAGATCAAGAATGTATTATGGCAATACATTCTTGATCAAGTGAAAATATGCTCAATACAATACTAACATGTTTATTATTATGAAATTTTTTTAAGTAACATGCATTACATTCCCAAGTTTATTATAAAAGAAATTAGTTTTTCTTTACAAAAGTAATATACATCTTATAATTTTCCACAACGGCTGAATATCAGTATTAATTTTTCTTAATTTCATGCCAATCATTCTCATTTAATTTTGAAATCAATATAGAATATTGAATTGTACATGAAATCACTAATATGTGCAACTATTTGCAACTGATTGATAATCAAGGTGTTTACATCTCCGTTTTTCCAGAGAAACAGGTTTGCAAAATGCAATAAGTGCACACTGATTAAGACTATGCTGGAACAGACTAGAAACGTAGAGCAACGGGAAAAGCTGAAAATGAGACGGGATACACATCTACGAAAGCAGAAGTAAGTAAATTAAATGTCCTGTGCAATTTACCATTTGGCTATGAGCCACTTTAAATCAAGTGTCATCATATAAACTGTACCTTGAGAATGCCTCAGTGGTTTCAAAGTCCATTTATACCACAAGTGTATACTGGAGTGGTCAATTTGTGTGAACAACAAACCCATAGAATATAAGGCATACCCACAAAATTAAGAGCCCTGTGCCTGGTTGTTCAATGCATCAAATTGAGATTAATTTTAGACCATTTATGATGCAAAATGAACTAGCAATCCCTCTCTCTCTCTCTCTCATTGTGATCTTTTCACAGGGGAAAATTAGTATCACTTGGTAAGAAAAATGTGAGACACTTTTGTAAGTTAACTGATTTTGTGGCAGTAATTTAGCTAGATGGCTGTGATAGCTTTGCCTCAGACTTGATGCCAGTTGAAATTGTCTTGGGCACCTCCAGCTAGGACCCAGGCTAAGAATATTTTGTATTCTGGCCTCCAATAAGCAACCCATGGGGAATCATCTGATGTCAGTTGACCTTAACCAATTAATCAGCATATAATCCTAATATAAGCATCCTCAGCAATGCCAGAGGCCTCTGAGCTCACTGATTACTCCTCCTGAGGAAAACTTGATTCATCTTAAATTACCTATGGTACATGTGACTCAGGCAACTTTGTGAACAATTACAATATTTTAGAGGCCTTTTTTGAGATGTATTGTTAAGTACTTACTGGGAAAGTGTGGGAAACTTTGTCAGTTGATGATAGGCCAGAACTTAGAAAGACACAAAAATGCATCTATGCAAACAAACAGTTAATTGTTTCTTTATTCCTGAACAACACATCATGATTAATAATTTCAGATTTAGAGTTTGACAACGATGATGAGGAAAATTGGCACCTTCCTGCAATAGTTAATGCATGTCAAGAATCCAGAAACAGAAGACCAGAAATTGAACTAAGTAATGTACCTCCCATTGAAGATGTTGCCTTTGATGAGCTATCAGATGATGATGCCCCCTTATCTAAACCGGTATGTATAACTTTGCTAACTGTGATGTTGCATTGGTTGAGTGCATATTGTAATTGTCATTACTAATACTTCAATGTAAACTATTAAAACTTTGTTATTGCACTGTTATGATATTTCAGTTAATAATTGGGAGAGTGACCCGAGCACTGCTGGGAACTAGTACCAGGCAGGCAGGCATACAGTCTACTACCTCTACCCCAGCAGTGGAATTGAAGGTGGGAGATATGTGCCTGCTCAATGTTACTGCACATGACGACTGGTGGCCTCAAGTTGCCAAGGTTAACAGGATACATGGTGACACAGTGGAAATCACTTGGTTTTCAGGAGCTGTGTCCTCTTCCTTTAAAGTCCTCAAAAGGAGACAGGGTAGAGAACACATACCCTGGACCGAAAGTATAACAAGAAATGACATTTGGTACTATGGGTTTAACCTCACAAAGAAGTCCAATTTGCCCCTCCATGTTAAAAACAAACTCAGAGAATTTGATCACGGGGAACACAGTAATTAGGAGGAGATATAATGTAAACTGTCTTGGATTAATGGGTAGCACACATTATCAAGAAATTTAATCATCTAGATTGTAAAGGTAGAAACTATGATATGATTACTAACTGCAACAAAGATTCCTGCTCCTGCAACTTTATCTTACAGTTTATTATAGAAGTTTTTTTTTACTTTATTAAATGTGCTTACTGGAATTCCCATTGCTAAAGGTGATATATCTGAACTTTGATTTTTCCCTTGTTTTTGTGTTTTGTTCACAAGTTTATTTTCCCAAAATTAAAAAATCTATTGTTCCCCTCCCAAGTGACATCAGTGACACACTGGTTATTCTAAAGCTGTCAGTTGCACAGTGGGTCCCCGGGTGACAGAGCTTTCACCCCTCCTGTTATATTTCCATGGTTAAGCCACCTAACCCCTAAATCATTGTAAAATGGTGGTACATATTTGAGAAAATCACACTGCAGTAATCTGCTTAATAAACAACCTACTTTTGTGCTGCAATTTTCTTTCATTCGTATCTCCATTTTTGCCATGTTATTATTCTATTTGTAGTTATTTTTGAAGGCCCCTTATTAGTATCTCATTATGTTAAAAGAAATTAGCCTACAATATTAATTATTTAGATTTAGATATGCCTAGTCTATTTTAAGAATCATATTTTATAATAATAATATCACAGGTTTCATTATTGTTGAAACCCATTACTGATAAGCACACCACACTGTAGTAAAATAGTATGAAATACACAAAAATGTTTGTATCCCAGTATTATATAAAACACTCAAACAAACCTAATAAAAGTATAAAAAACATGTTTTAATTATTATATGGTATAAGAGTGAATGGCAATTGAAAATGAGATGCTACAAGTAATAAAAAGTTTATGTAAATTAATCACTATCACTTGTCCTATTAAAGCTGTGTTAACACCTAACATACAACAAGTCTGTTATTTTCTCAGCCATATGTAATTGATATCTTGCGTAATGCAAATGCCAGTGAAATTCCTCGGACAAATTCCTGACCTACATACTTTAATCCTTGATCTTCAGCACACTCTCAGCAAAGAGGAATAGTATAATGTTCTTGTTGCATTGAGTCGATTTATTTTGGAAAAGTAAGGCTTTAGACATGATCAGCCATTTTGAGCTGCAAATTTTATAGGCAGTTTAATTTGGGCCAGATTCAAAACCAAGTTGAGTTACCTAATTAAGTCACTGGTCAGAAATGCCAGGACACACTTGAAAGGAAATCACACTACAGTAATTTTATCTATGTAATAAACAACCACTTACTTGAGTAGCAGTTTCATCTCAAGTGTGTATTCTGCCATATTTGACCTAAGACTTAGGTTACTTGATTTTTAATTCTAGCATAAATACAACAGTACACTGTAGTACCCTTGTAATTGAAAAGCTGACCCCCCCCCCCCCCCCAGTAAATGTAGAAGATCTTTTTAAATGAAAATTTCAAAATTAATATTTTTTTACAAGTTGAAAGAATTAAGTAATTAATATTTTTCATTTACAATTGGCATTACTGTGCCATTCATTAGTTGAAAATACCAAGTACCATATATAATTATACAGAGGTTAAATCTTTATTTTGGGCCCTTCAAATTAAAGACTATGATACTTCAAGATATTTCAGAGATAATGTTTATTTTTTGAGTTTGAACACTGGAACCAACCCATGGATAGTCAAAGTGTAATGGCNAAGGAAATCACACTACAGTAATTTTATCTATGTAATAAACAACCACTTACTTGAGTAGCAGTTTCATCTCAAGTGTGTATTCTGCCATATTTGACCTAAGACTTAGGTTACTTGATTTTTAGCGGATTTTTAATTCTAGCGTAAATACAACAGTACACTGTAGTACCCTTGTAATTGAAAAGCTGCCCCCCCCCCCCCAGTAAATGTAGAAGATCTTTTTAAATGAAAATTTCAAAATTAATTAATATTTTTTTACAAGTTGAAAGAATTAAGTAATTAATATTTTTCATTTACAATTGGCATTACTGTGCCATTCATTAGTTGAAAATACCAAGTACCATATATAATTATACAGAGGTTAAATCTTTATTTTGGGCCCTTCAAAATAAAGACTATGATACTTCAAGATATTTCAGAGATAATGTTTTTTTTTTGAGTTTGAACACTGGAACCAACCCATGTATAGTCAAAGTGTAATGGCTTTAATTCCTTTAAAAATGCGTCTGAGGTAACTCTATCTGTAGATAGAGTTACCTGGTTTGAGTTTCTGACACAGTTTCCTGCTTTGGGCCTCTCAGCTAACTTTATCTATGGATAAAGTTAGCTGAGAGGAAAACTTGGCAGAAGTCAGTGTCAATCATCTCTGTACTAACCTGAATTAAATGGTTGCAGATTAGGTTTCATTGCATTATGCAATTAAATCTGATAGAGTACCCAGATGCACACTCTCAAGGAGTTTATGTTTAGTTGGCCAAATGACTAAATGATTGCCAGCTGAAATCAGAACCTGTTTGTTTGGCAATCTCGATATTTTCTCCAAACTATTTACAAACTTTTACCGTCTTAAAATGTAGAGCAAGCTTAAAAATGTGGATTGTAAAATTTATGCAAAAGGAGTCACATTCTTAATTGAAAAAAAAAGTTGTGTGCATCGAAAAACCTAACGTTTTTCTCAATTTAAGTCCCTTGGTTTACCATTTAATTATAGAACGTTAGTGTTGAGAATGACTAACATATTAAATACACATTTTATTTTTGTTCTTGCTGATTTTTTTTTTTTTTGTGAGGGAAAACATCTATGAAAATCTCAAAAGAAAAATTGATTGATTGATAATAATAGTATGCAGTTATGTACAGGGATACCTCAACAAAACTGGGGCGTACTGCACCGAGAGCAAAGTTGTACACGTACACTATCCATGGTACAGAAAATAAATAAACATCCAATTTATGAGGATTTTAATTGAGATTCAAATTGGTTAACTGGTTTTGCTATCCTTTTGATACTTAACCAATTGGACATATAATACAGTGTATGAATAAAAACTGTTCTCATACACGTATTTCGAGTTGAGTTAAAAAAAGTCCACTTGGCCGCATGAAGATAAATGGCAAAGGTACAATACGGTGTATTGGATCTAGTCAACTCATGTGACATGTGCGCCGGATGATTCTTCGCTGTGACCAATGTAAGGAATTGTCTGAAATCAGAATAAAAACATAAATGAATCGTCTTGGCTGTTAAAACAGCAACACTATCAACAAAATACATATTTAGAAGAAGCTTTTTTGTAGAGAAAGGCAACATTGCAGAGGTGCTTTTGCATAATATCTACACCTTTTGTTACATACACACTTTATGTAAAACAAATGTACCTCTTTGCTACTGAGGTGACTGACTTGGCTGGTGCAAATTAGTAACACACAAGCACACACACACACACGCAAGCGCGCGCACAAACACCACCTATATATTTGTGTTCTTTGTGATTTTTTTCACATACAGGCATGTCGAGCTGAACGACTTGATTTTTTTTTCTTCCTTTTACACCTCATTCCCCTACTGTACATAGTTCAATTCTGCGCCTTGTCTGGCCAGCATGTGCCTCCTTACCTCGGGATCGCAGCAAATACACCTATGACACGCTATGAACATGTTAATGGGACCCATATACAACGCCTCGAAGCAGATAAATGTCATCATCAGCACCAATGTCAGGAGAAGAGGAGTTTGGAACATCGCACTAGGAGGGTCGCTTAGGTCATCGCCAATGACGTCAAGAGCTTTGTCGTAAGCGACTGAAGATGTTATGGGTGATATCGTGGTGGTGGTTTGGCAGCGACTTCTGTAAAACAAAACCCATTATCAAATAACGGAGCCTCCATATGGTGCAATTGCATTTAACAACATAAAATTCATTGGAAGACCACTGACTTTTCTCTTCGGCTCCAGCGTCAATATTTTGACGACATGCTATTTTTCATTGTAAGCAAATTATCGGAACAATAAAAGGACATTCGTTTCAAGCTTTAAAATTAAGTAAAATGTCAATGAAGTGACTTTCAACACAGTAAAATTACGAAAATCAACATTTAAATCAAAACAACATATTTGGCCCGGCTACGTTATAATATATCGTCAACATACATAACGCTAACAAAAAGTGACCCATAATTGATAAATCAAACGATAAGCATGTGTAGTATATCTTGGAACGTCCGCTTTCACTCTTTTATCATAACGCGTACTTACTCTACAGGTAACGTCTGTACAGTGGTCATGTCTACAAGTATGGCTATAATGCCCACCGTCATGGCCACGGCGCACCACAGCAAAGCCTGAGAACGAAGGCATGTTTTTTTTCATCAAAATTCAAAACGAGCACAATCAATTAAACAAAATCGACAAAACTCGTTATTCTGCGTTGCATGATTACATTTATTCATGCACGGATGTTAAACAAACCTATGCATTAAAACTGAAATGCATTTCAGGCAAACGGTTGACTTTTGTCTACCATTTCAGAAGTACGTGTATCAATTAAAGCAACAAACAGCGTACGTAAATCAGAAGCAGATTATCCCTATTATATCAGAGAAGAATTATTAAAATGAAGAAAGTAAAACGAAAGAAACGGTAGTGTCGATGGTTAACTGACAAAAGTCATGTTGGGGAGGAGCACAGCATCTGCTGCCATAGTCAAAGATGCAAACAAAAACTTTAAAACAATCAACGAATGATCTAATATACAGGTTAAACACTCTGTATAATCATAATTTGATATGGTGATTATAATCATAATGATAATTCCCGCTCATTTAAGTTGACACATATACATTATATAGACTTACAAGCTTTCTTGCACTTTTTAATGTTATTATTATGGCAGGAACACCGAACACAACACCCTGGAAATACACGAAGAAATACGTGTACATTGATATCGACGAATCTCGAAATTAAGCGAATTGAATACCAATTAAAAAGAGAAAGAGAGAGAGAGAGAGAGAGAGGGGGGGGGGAGAGAGATAGAGAGGGGGAGGGAGGGAGGAGCAGTTGGAAGAAAGAGGAACCTGCTACATACCAGGATACCAACCCACCACACGTGACCTGCTGACGTACATAGCATGTGTTGCGTCATCATTTCCTGCTTGGCTCCCAGTCCAATGTGAATGAAACCTGGCAAGAAAAAGATTTGAATTATGAGTCAAACTACATACTGATCAATCAATAACAATNCGCTAATGAGTACTTAGTTTGAGGTTGATGCCAAAGAACTGGTATTTCCATTGTAAGACTTCCTTATGGAATTTCACTTCACTTTTAATTTGGGTAATTTGTGGTATTTGGCTAAGCCAAAAAAACTTCAGTGATCAAAATATTATGCACAGTGGAAAAGTATATATATATATATATATATATATATATATATATATATATATATATATATATATATATTATACGAATCTCACCTGCACAAAGTAATGGGGAACGAACAATGGCGTTGAATACATCCAAACGCCATTGACGATTGCTTTTTAAATTAATTACCGGTACCTGTGATAATCAGCAACACAGCAGACAAGATCATGGGGATTTTCATTCTGACAGAAAACGATCTGTCAGGGAATTTAAGGCAGCCACACGGTACCATTTTGACTTCTTCTGCGGACGACCTCTTCTGGATGTATTTCTATTCTTGTATTCTGGAACAGACCCCTGAAATGACACATAGCATTTTTATACAAGGAGCGCACAATCTCTCATTTCTTCTGTAGTTAGAGGTATAATAACTCTTCGTATGATCTCTATATTTCACAATAAAAACGGCAGTTATAGCTAATTTTCTGATATCTGAGCTTGTCGTCAGACCACATGACCTCCATAGATGGCTGTACTCTGCAATAATCTCTTCAGAGATTATTAAAAAAAAACTGTTTAGAGAGAAAAAAAAAAGAAAAAACGGGGACTAACTTTAAATGTAGAAATGGATTCGTTAACCATGGGTAAGTATGGGAAAATTGTTGTTTACTCTAGGAAAAGTCATTTTTGGCCAAAACGAACAGTTATTATCCCTTAAATGCTGACGCGCAGACATTTACCACACGCCTCTCCCTAAAATAATATACCTCTGACGCTGCACAGCATATCCGAAAACTAGGTCAGTTCGTAGTAATAATGCTGTCACCGGTCGTCTTAATATGGTCCAAATATTGATCAAATCCGGTAAAAACACGGTGCTGTACAGTCCATATTAACTGCTTGAAATGGAGCAGAGAGCACATGTACTATATTAGTCACTAAACACTCTCGCCAACAGCTAGCGTACTCCATACCTATACTTACCAGTATATGGAGACATGCAAGCTAGTCAGCTAGGCCTACCGGTACACGTAGCAGCGACTTTCCTTCCCCTCCCGTCTACATGAGTCGTTTACTTGGTCACCTATCAGGTCTGAACTACACACATGGTCCACTCTTCACTGGAATTGATATAACAAAGAGTACAGAGAACAAGCGCTAGACGATGACGTTTCAATCGCTGCTGCCGGATATCCTGCAGTACGGACATTATATGCCATATATCAGCCGTAGGTACAGGTTATATATTGCCAAGCCTGTGCTACATTAAGCATACCCGCACGAAAATGCAGTAGTATCGAAGTAGCAAAGAAGCATTAACGCAGTAGTGGTGTGGAGCATATTTGCAGTAGAAATGCAGCATAGCCTACTACAATTCTACTTCAAAAATTACATAGGGTCGTACAGAAGAGGAGCATTAATGCAGTAGATTTGCAGCATGATAGAAGCATGTTTCAAATATGCTAATTAGCTCCCCAGTCGAAGCAGATTTGAAGCATGTTTGCAGTAGAATTGCAGTAGTCTACTGCGCTGGAGTATCTACTTCGTTTGCGTGCGGGTAAGCTGTGTGTACATGTGGTGGCGAACTGGTGCCTGATTTCGGGGAAGTAGTGAGGATATTCGTTTTAATGTTACACCAGTGTGCGCGTCTCACGAGTCCATAACCTGCATGACTGATTATTCAGGGTAGATTGCATATGACGATTCGATTCGTGCTTACAGGGGGGAATATTTCCTACATTTTTTCATAATTATTTAGCTCTTATGTCGTTTTTAAAATACGTGTCACCTCATTGAATTCTGCACTGAGCACGAAAATAACCCGTAGACGTACCAGATTTGTATAAAATATTTTTCGTAAACACGAAGTCATTAAACCGATATACTGGGTTTGCATTGGTAATCTCACATTGTGCGGCGACATCTCCTATCTAGTGACGGACACTACCTTGTTTTGTAATGAGTGTAACGCCGCTGATATTGTAAGAGTTTTCATGCAAAGCGATTACGATCCCTTTCACCAGAAGTCTCACTGCACGATTAGGAGTCACCCACGACGCCATGCGGGGCACCAGGTGTGTGATATGTACATGCATACCCAAGTGATGCTGCAGTAAACATTAAGTCAGCTTAACAAACTGACTTTATCTATTACCTTTAATTGCGATTATTTATCTTAGATAGGAGAACAATAAAAAACATTGCGATACCAAAACGTATGTCCTACTTGCGGTTCCTACATGCTCTGAAGTATCTAGATTGTTACGTCGAAAAATCACTTGGGCTCCATCACCTCGGCCACGCGCATCGCACGAGTCCCATTTCTTAAGCCTAGGTTACAGCTCTCACGGGGGCCGCATGGTGTAAAAAATATTGAATACGATTCCCCTTGAAAGGCCAATGTTACCAAAAGATTCGACCAGATAATGTTAACGTCCTCGCCGTAGTTCGTAGCTACCTACGATGTCAAAAATAAATATATGAATAAAATAGAGTAGAATAAAATGATAAAAAACATATACGATTTCATCCTTCGGTGCAGATGGAAAATGCAATCTAGGCTTTAATGATCTAACTATGAATATGAAAAGTAAGGTATATAACAAGGGGATGTGCTCCTAATTTTGTTTTATTTTTAAGTCACCTGTAATCTAAGAAATATTCTAACACCATCAAAATGACCAACAAAAATTGCGAACTAATGTGCATAAATGGAAATTAAATTCGTATTCAATGCAATGAACGTGTTATCTTAGGTATACATTGTCATAAATAACTTTAATAACTTATATATATGATTCATTTATGAGCGGAGAGGGGGGGGCTACACTTTTACTTTACAATGCCACTATTTAAAATAACTGACCTTTTAAATACATATTCGAGTGCGCACTATACGTCTGATTTTAACATGCAGTGTTAATTGAATTTCACATGATGACGGACTCATGAGAGACGTAATGAGCTCGAGTACATTATTCATTTCAATAGAAATGTCGAAAGTGGCGTCATTCTACATACAGTTCACCTACAACCCCATGATAATATGGTAAAAAAAATTTAATTGTACATGTGCATTTTTACAAAATGGTGTCAAATTTTAAGATGTGCAGAAGGTATGCTATCGTGCCATTTCTATTTTATTCATTCCGGTCACAAAACATTCTAAATGATGCAAAAGTTATCAATCATGCACTATTTCCATGAGTTGACTGAGAACCCAGCAATGCTAATTCAAATAACAATCAAGACAGGCAAACCAAATATATAGTAAAATAATCCAAAAACGTTTTCACAAAGTCAAAAAAGGCGTGTTCTTAGCACAGTGCACATTCGTTGGAGAGTAATGCAAATACATTATTCCACTTTGGCACTGGGGTATAACTCTTCGTAGCAAACTTTTGAAAAGTGTCGTACAACCCTATGGTGCTTTCATTGGCCTTCAGAATCTCTCGACCGGCTTCGTTCGAATGTGGCAGAAAAAAATCGACGCTGGAATCTCGTGGAATGAGGTCTATCAGACCCTTGAGGAGAACCATGGTTCCGACTGTATTTTCTGCATACAGAGGTCCAAGGTAGAAGCCGTTCATAGCAGGTCTGATTGATCCGTATCCAGCTATCTTCCCTTTCTTTAACAAAACAAGCGATTTTGCCGTTGTTTGGCCGAGCCAAATCTTCAGCATTTCCGGTCTTGGTACCACGTGATATGACGTATCATAGCCAATGAGGTCCGACATGTCAACATGTCTAAAGTCAATTATATGGTATTTTTGTTCCATATCTGGTGGAAGAGGGATGTTCTTGAAGACGCCGTAATAATTTCCCCCTGTGTCTCCCTTAGAAAGTGGGGCGCCGCTGTACTTTTCATATGTATCTAATAGGGGCGAGATGGCGCCTGCATAAATATTCCTGTCTCCAAATTCCTCAAAATACTTGCTCATCAGTTTAGCACCTGAAAGAATATACATGTACAGGTTTAAATCACTATGAATTATAATACGCCATCTGATATAGGCAGTCTTTATCAAATTTACTTTTTGTAATTAGTGGCTGATCCAGGGTGTTGCTAAGAGGAGGGAGCACAAAGTAAAAGACATAATAAAAACAGTGAATAAGGACAATGACTGTTCGCCTATAGATTGTATGAAACAGGGAATGGACAGTGTTTCATCTGTTTGCCTGGGCCCCGTATCTCGAAAGCATCGCTCATTTTATAGTGTCTTTCATGTAATTAAACATGGCGGCAAGTTTGGGTTGCTAGTCATAAAAGCATATACNAAATAAAATAGAGTAGAATAAAATGATAAAAAACATATACGATTTCATCCTTCGGTGCAGATGGAAAATGCAATCTAGGCTTTAATGATCTAACTATGAATATGAAAAGTAAGGTATATAACAAGGGGATGTGCTCTTAATTTTGTTTTTATTTTTAAGTCACCTGTAATCTAAGAAATATTCTAACACCATCAAAATGACCAACAAAAATTGCGAACTAATGTGCATAAATGGAAATTAAATTCGTATTCAATGCAATGAACGTGTTATCTTAGGTATACATTGTCATAAATAACTTTAATAACTTATATATATGATTCATTTATGAGCGGAGAGGAGGGCTACATGTTTACTTTACAATGCCACTATTTAAAAATAACTGACCTTTTAAATACATATTCGAGTGCGCACTGTACGTCTGATTTTAACATGCAGTGTTAATTGAATTTCACATGATGACGGACTCATGAGAGACGTAATGAGCTCGAGTACATTATTTATTTCAATAGAAATGTCGAAAGTGGCGTCATTCTACATACAGTTCACCTACAACCCCATGATAATATAGTAAAAAAAATTTAATTGTACATGTGCATTTTTACAAAATGGTGTCAAATTTTAAGATGTGCAGAAGGTATGCTATCGTGCCATTTCTATTTTATTCATTCCGGTCACAAAACATTCTAAATGATGCAAAAGTTATCAATCATGCACTATTTCCATGAGTTGACTGAGAACCCAGCAATGCTAATTCAAATAACAATCAAGACAAGCAAACCAAAGATATATTGAAATATTCCAAAAACATTTTCACAAAGTTAAAAAGGGGCGTGTTCTTAGCACAGTGCACATTCGTTAGAGAGTAATGCAAATACATTATTCCACTTTGGCACTGGTATATAACTCTTGGTAGCAAACTTGTGAAAAGTGTCGTACAACCCTATGGTGCTTTCATTGGCCTTCAGAATCTCTCGACCGGCTTCGTTCGAATGTGGCAGAAAAAAATCGACGCTGGAATCTCGTGGAATGAGGTCTATCAGACCCTTGAGGAGAACCATGGTTCCGACTGTATTTTCTGCATACAGAGGTCCAAGGTAGAAACCGTTCATAGCAGGTCTGATTGATCCGTATCCAGCTATCTTCCCTTTCTCTAACAAAACAAGCGATTTTGCCGTTGTTTGGCCGAGCCAAATCTTCAGCATTTCCGGTCTTGGTACCACGTGATATGACGTATCATAGCCAATGAGGTCCGACATGTCAACATGTCTAAAGTCAATTAGATGGTATTTTTGTTCCATATCTGGTGGAAGAGGGATGTTCTTGAAGACGCCGTAATAATTTCCCCCTGTGTCTCCCTTAGAAAGTGGGGCGCCGCTGTACTTTTCATATGTATCTAATAGGGGCGAGATGGCGCCTGCATAAATATTCCTGTCTCCAAATTCCTCAAAATACTTGCTCATCAGTTTAGCACCTGAAAGAATATACATGTACAGGTTTAAATCACTATGAATTATAATACGCCATCTGATATAGGCAGTCTTTTTCAAATTTACTTTTTGTAATTAGTGGCTGATCCAGGGTGTTGCTAAGAGGAGGGAGCACAAAGTAAAAGACATAATAAAAACAGTGAATAAGGACAATGACTGTTCGCCTATAGATTGTATGAAACAGGGAATGGACAGTGTTTCATCTGTTTGCCTGGGCCCCGTATCTCGAAAGCATCGCTCGTTGCGAGCGGGCGCAAGCATGGCGATTCCTCGCTATCTCATAACTCGAAAGCGTCGCAAATCGCGACCGTGCGCTAGTAGCGAAATCACCTTTAGTTTCTGGACTATTATTTGCGATGAGTAAATCCCGTCCCAATGGCCTTTGCGCATGCATAATTCGTCATTTTATAGTGTCTTTCATGTAATTAAACATGGCGGCAAGTTTGGGTTGCTAGTCATAATAGCATATATAACAAAGCAAGAAAGCTTATAAACGATTGAGTCACTCGGTACCTCTGATAGAAATGCTAAAGAATGCTAAAGTCATGTTTTATTATGCATAAAAAATTCAAAATTAAACATTTCATACATCATTTTATATTTCTGATGAATATAGTTCATCTGTGTAGTCTATTGATAATAATTATAAATTTAATCGTTTCATTTTCTACACAAAATGGCAAAGCAGAAACAAAGTATTCGGTCACTCCTTGGCCTTCCTTAGTGTCTGTTATTGTGAGACTCAGAACACTACTAAGAAGTACTGTTATCAGTAATTGTGTCAGTCCAAACACGTGGGCTTCGCTTATTGAATTTTTTTGACATTTTATTGGTGTCAAACACTTCAAATATCAGTGTTTGTAATGTGATATTCCTATAGATTAAAACAATCTCTGCGTTAGCATCACACTGAAATAAAATTACATTATGTGTAATTGTTTTATGACGTCTTCACTTTATGCGGCAATCGACTTTTAGTAGCGTTTGAGGCTATAATTGCGTTGTGTTTGCTAAGGCTTTGAGTTAACAGGTGGGCGCAGTCGCCCTCGCAAATAGCGAGGTATCGCTTGCTTGATATCGGTCGCAATTCGCGCCCTGGTTTTAGATCCCTGCTTTTTTTTTTTTTTTTCTTTTTTTTTTTTTTGGGGGGGGGTGTAGCAAAATAAAGAAGAAATGGTTACTCGCAACTTATGGGCCAACCAGCGCCAACCGCCAGTGATGTAACGCCATTTCTATATCACTATATGTAATATATAAATAATGCGTGATATCTCAGACTTTCAACTACTGCGTAAAATGTGTTTTAATGGAAATTATAATTATATATACTCACCAACACCACGCCCCTGCATTTTTGGGGAGACTATAAAATGACCCGCTGTCTTCAGGCCACTATCAAATTCGTGCGATAGATAGCAACCTAAAATTAGTAATAGTAAATATGAAACAGGTGCTGTATTCATACAGTGGGATTTATGTAACTTGTATTACTAAAATCATTAATAGTTCCTTTAAGAGCTCGTAACAGAAAATGTATACTGGTTAGTATATATGTTATGTGTACTTTGTATATTGGACTGACTTTCCAGCTAGCCAGGTGAAGATAGCAATCAAGAAGAGGGCCATTATGTGAGTAGCAAAGGGTGGTCTCTTGTCAAGTAAGTGCTAATTGCCTTATTGCTTAAGAATGATTCAGATACCATCTCAGTTAATTTCAAAAGCAAGGAAAATGCAGCATACTGTTACATTTAACAATTTTTCTTTAAAGTGTTTTGACATTTGACAATTTAATACATAATTACTTTTTTTACTTTTGAAACATAGTAACATTTTAATAACATGGTCATCAGTATTCAAAATTATAGAATAATTTAATCATATCAATTTCGCATTAATCTTGATTTTAAAAATTCTTTACGTTAGGATAAGGTAAAATCTCTGCTGTATTATTTCCTTGCTGCATCTGTCCTAAAAATCTCTTTTAAATTTCCTGCATAAGAAGTCCAAGTATCCATAATTACAGCAGAGGTGGAGTAATTCATTTTAGAACTCTGTCTGCCACATACAGCCATGGCGAAACAGCATGGGTCTTGTTAGATGTGTTTTCCCCACCTAAGAAAGAACTGGATTTCTTTTTTCAGTAAATAAATTCCCGAGAAACAAAATTGTACCACTCAGTGATATTAGTACACCCCTAGTTACAGCTGTAGATGGAAATTTTATTTGGTTTATCGATACTCTATAAAATGCTTTTTGATCAGAAAAATTAATTAAGAAAAGAAAGACTTCCTTTAAAAGCAAAAATTAAGAAAAAATATTGTTTTAAATGTGAAATTTTAACATATAATACTTAAAGTATAATATGTTTTTAAATAACATTAAAACAGTATATTTTCATGGTAGATTGAAGTGACTTTTCAATTGTTTGTGACGAGTAAAAGGGCATGTCTTATTTTGAAATAAATGTACCTGGTTTTTTATTGCTTGTGAAGCTATAATTCTAAGCTTCGCTGTCAAAACATTAAAAGTATGCTGCACTAGTACTTCTATAACCAATTCTTTCATTGCTTTAAACATTGTCTGGGATGGTATGTGAATCAGCCTTGTGATTAATTATGCTGTAAATTGTTTTACCGTGCCTATGACAAAAATGCCACGGTAAATTAACTACTTTTACTTTCCAGCTAGCCAGGTGAAGATAGCAATCAAGAAGATGGCCATTGTGTGAGTAGCAAAGGGTGGTTTCTTGTCAAGCAAGAAGTTATAAAGTTATAACTTCTTGTATCAAGTAAGTAAGAGATGGTATCTGAATCACTCTTTAGCAATTAGGCAATTAGCACTTACTTCACAAGAGACCACCCTTTGCTACTCACATAATGGCCATCTTCTTGATTGCTATCTTTACCTGACTAGCTGGAAAGTTAAGACTGAATGTATGATTGGAGATAATTGCTTTGCCACTTCAGTTGAAGTCAGACCAATTATAGTCTTACACACTGGAGTTTTTGTTCGTTTTTAGTCTTAAGATCAATTTAAATTTGCTTCAGTCCAGCTTTGGACTTAAATTGCACTTTAAGACCAAATCAGGCCCACTGGTGTTAGTTGAATAGACATTAAATTTGGGGATTCTACTTGTACGTCTATTTTTCTTAATATCTGATTAAATTACATAGTTCACCTTTTTAAGTTATGACGTAAACCATTTTACGTACATGTACATGGATATAATTCAATACTCATATTAGCAAGAATGACTTCTAAGGCTACAAGTAATTTTTTGAGATGCATAGTTCTAAGTAGTCACATTTAAGCAAGGCGATGTGAAAGCAAGTACCGGTAGTACCTTTCTACTAATGATAACGAAAAGAGATTGAAAATAAGGTAAATGGGTAGGAAGTAAATTATTTCAAAAAGACAAAATGTGTCTGTTTACCATTGAGGTATGATCTTTCGACTTTTAATTTATAGCCTATTTTTGTCTATATTAAACAAGAAAAATATTTAGCCAAATGAATAAGACAGTGAATTGACAAACATAGACCAGTAAATCAATTAATTACTATATAAAAAGTGATGTTTTTAGAAGACATCCTTACCCACTACATCTCCGTCCTTTTCGGCTATATTCCAGCCATTTTCACACATTTTGAAGAGGGTTTCAATCATGTCTTGATGTTTATTCCACTTGACTTCCTCAGTCAGTTTCCAGACTCCGGGGACGTCCTTCATTCTTCCTGGGCGTACAGTGACCCCTTGGCTCCCCTCCGTGTCCGGAGTAATGGGACGTTCAGACCAGGCCATGGGTCCTCCAAGTCTGCGAAATGGAGGTTTACCTAACATTGAACACCGACTTTCATCGCATACAGCACTGAAAAAACGTGAAATCGTCGCATGTCTTCGTACTGTAATAGCAAACATTTCTGTTGGCTTCGTTGACTAGTTCTGGATTGTTGTATAGTCTTAAATTCTGTAGAAAACGTCCCGCTTTTTTAATCACATATGTTTAAAACAATCAATTTATATCTTCCTGTAGACGAGGCAGGAACTGAGCGTATGTGAAAACCCGTTGCCCATTTGCTTCTCTATTGTCACGTGGTAAGTGAGAGATACAAGTGACCCTTTTCATCTTTTGGGGTAATAAGAAGTGCGCGTGACAGGAACCGCGCGCCACAGGGGCCAATCAGAGGCCGTGGTTTAAGCCAGATACAACACTCGTCGCCGAGCTGTACGTGAAAATTGCTCGTGTATTGTCTTGCCTGCGGCTCGCCAATACACTCGTAATATTTCAGGTACAGCTCGGCGACTCGTATTGTATCTATCACATGTATCTATGCAAGCTGTGGCGATATCACTTCATTTACTATCATGTCAACATGTACCGGTACATGTAGTATCAATTCATTACGATTTTTATGTCTTGTTTGAAGGATGTCTTAAGAGATTTTTTAAATAACAAAATGAAAAGATTCCCTGCATTGCTTGACTCGCAGCTACTGTGTATACAGATAAAACTGACACTCAGATTGTTCGTCGGTTAACTGATTAAATCATTTGGTACCTGATAAGGCATCAGGTGTTACTTGTTCAATTGCTCGGTAAGAGGGGCGGCCACAACTACGATTTTTTCCTCTGTAATTAAAACCTTCTAATTTTGTGTGTTAAATAGGTGAGACTGGAATTTTCGACTCCTTCCCAGACGATAATTACACTGTTTACCGTGGCTTACACTAGTATATGTACAAAATTTACGACAGGCAAAAAATGTCAAACTTTCGATCTGACAAGTGTGAAGATTTTGCCAAACTAAAACAAAACCGTCAGACGAAAACAAAATTAAAGCAAGAGGCCAAATGATTTGATTTTTTAAATGTTTTTATGCGTATTTTCTTCGTTTTCAGTGATAGACAATAAAATCATTCAAATACTTGTAAAGTGTTTTCCATACATTTCATACTTTTCCCCGTATTTACACATGTAAGACAGTTAAAAATCCGTACTTTAATACTCAGGATATTAGTATTACTTTATATACAAATATGTTGTTAGATTATGTTTATCATCCATTTTATGTCTTTACCATATATGGTTTATGCACGTGTAGCTTACAGAAAGGCTTTTCTACATTTTCTAAATAACAATAGCCTATAAATGTATGTCCATTATAATTTCCAATTCACTTATCATTGAGTTCAAAAATAAATAACTTTTTATTATGCCGATGACACGATGTACTTTCTTCTTTGTATGTCTTTGTTGATCTTGATAATATGAGCCCCGTTTGTACACATCAGTAATACGGGACTGGATACATAATAATAATGATAATAATAATAATAATAATAATTTTATTAACGTCTCACGTTAAAAAATAATTAAGACCCACCCTGCTAAGGGTTATAAGAGACTAAAACCTGTGATAATATATTTAAAATTATCACTTATCAACAAAACACATAAAAAAGGATATTATATATAAAACTTTTCAAACCCTCTCTTTGTTGTTATACAAGAAGTCGTGAAAGTTTTTGAATTCTTTGTAAGTAGAAAACCCCGTGTAAAACTTAACAACTTTTAGTTTCTTTTTTCATAACTTCATGCTTAAAGTCTTTTCTTTCTTTTTAGGTCCCTATTCTTCAATTTTTTTCTTCAAAACTTTATAATTTTTTTTCGCGCATTGTTTTCCCCTGAGTTATATTTGCCGATACTTCGTTGTTGTCGACATCGACAAATAAATCATCCCGCACAAAAACGAAGTAGATACTCCAGCGCAGTAGACTACTGCAATCATACTGCGAACATGCTTCAAATCTGCTTCGATGCGGGAGCTAATTAGCATATTTGAAACATGCTTCTATTATGCTGCTAATCTACTGCATTAATGCTCCTCCTCTGTACAACCCTATGTAATTTTTGAAGTAGAATTGCAGTAGGCTTTACTGCATTTCTACTGCAAATATGCTCCACACCTCTACTGCGTTAATGCTCCTTTGCTACTTCGATACTACTGCATTTTCGTGCGGGATGTTTTCACAGCTACTGCAATGTCGCGGTAATCGGGTTATGAATATTTGAGTGGTTTTTGTCAACGTCCGCTGTAAAAGCAGGTTGTTCTTCTCAGAATGTTATGTTAATGTGAGCTATGTAGAACGCTTTGAATATGTACATTTAGTTGTTGATTAATTTCGAGGCTATAAGATTTAGTAAACCGTCATCACCTATTTGTAGTTAAATAAGTCAGGTGACATTTTTAAAGTCATCTTTTTATATCGATATATATTTAGTTGACATGTACATTAACATTGCTGTTGCATGTACATGTAAGCTGTAAAGTTGCCGAATGTTAAGTATAATCTACTATACCCTGTAGCTACATATTTAAGTTTCATAGTTTTATTAATATTGTCGATATTTGCGTATACGTGTTGCTCTCTCTCTCTTTCTCCACTTTTTATTTGCATTTTTCTGCATATTTATTATATTTCATTATTTTGAAATTCGTTAATTCATTATTGCAATTCATTTATTTATTATTATTTCTATTTGTTTAGTTTCACCACTACAAGATATCACTACAAGATGTCAATATCGATATCATTTTATTACATCATTACAAAGTGCGTGATCAATAAAGGTGAATTTTAAAAGATGTTTGCGTTTCGAGTTTTTGGATTGTAAACAGCAATATCGTTAGATCCGTTGATTAACTAGGCATTTCTGTATTTTATTTAAGCACCGTTGATCTCCTAATATTTTAGGATTTCTTCCCGCCTTCGAAATGTTCGACGCAAACGCAGTCCCCTGCTTTTGATCCAAACCTGCTAAATTCCCCTTTCTTTCTACCATATTTTCCATTCTAACGGGTTTGTTGGGAACTTATTAAAACTCATGTGTCTATCTCGCTTACTGTTATTGCAGCAGCGGGACAAAAAGCACGTAAACCCAGACATGGTTTTCAGCACCGTTTAAGTGTTTCGACATAGCAAGGACTCACTTTCCCACAATGCAATTTCCAACATGGAAAAGATTAAAAGGGCCAATAGAAGCAGTCTCTACTGTCTTGTGACCTTGACCGTTACTGTCATAAAAAGGTAGAAGAGCCTAAGTGAGTACTGGTAAAGAACGAAGTCAGTCCCTACAAAATCTTCAAGGTCAAATTAGCCTTAATATCGTCATTATAAGCCTTCCTTATGGTTAGAAGGTACTGTATAAATTGTTTCGAAAGGACAAAGAGTTATGCTTTTTACTGACGACTTAAAAATGTGGCACATTAAGTATGGTTATCGGTCTTCAATATTTATTAATTTAAACTTCTTTTAGCAAAATCTATAAACAATAATTACACTCTCAAAGATGGAAATTATTTGAAACGATATCGAGGGATACTTTATAAACAACAGCTGAGTGCTGACATTTATTTCATGAAAAAAAAAAAACATGCTGCAGAATAAAACAACTGTGTCAAGCATTAGCAAGAGATCTTGTGAGAAACGAGTCTGTGTCCCTAGTAGAGGGTATTTAGGGTCTCCTGGGGCCACTAACTTTGTCCATTTCTTGGGCGATGACGGACGATACCTCTTTTTGAAATATCCTCGCATGCAATCTCTTTTAATACAGTCGTAAAAGAGAAGCCACCCAAGTGATTTAAATACCCTTCATATTATCCCACACCCAATGAGAATATAACAACTAAAATACAACAAAACACGCGAAGTATCACTAATGGGCATGCATTAAAATCATTCAGCGACAGCAACAAGAAAACAATGCTAGTACTTCTCCCCCCTCCCGCCATGAAATAGAAATTATGACAGCTTGACAAGGTTCGTGGTGTGAACTCTCTCTCTCTCTCTCTCTCTCTCTCTCCACAAACACACACCCACACACACACAAACACACACTGGAATCTTAGACTGGGTTCCTTTACATTTAAGCTGGTTAAGTTGATAGCAATTTAGTGAGACTCCCCAGGGAGATAGATCGATCCAAGTACATGTGGGAATGGTCCCTAAGTTTGGAGTAAGTACTGCTTCGATTGCAGTGAGGCGTGGATCGCATTCATACACGACGCGCTTGTACCCCCACTACGGTCTGTACATAGTGTAGACTATAATTAACGACCGCAAACGGCCGCAAACGTCCACAAGCATAAAATGGTTGGGAAATCAGTTCATGTATACACATTTGACATATGACGGTATTTTAAATTGGAAAACAGCATAAAGTGTCCTAATTTGTAGGTCTACTGAAAGAATGTTTATATCTACAAGCGCCGACGAGCGACCACAAGCGTCCACGGGCATAGAATGGTAGGAAGATCGATCCAACTAGATCAACCTAACTCCCTGGGGGGTTCACGCTAAATAGCTGTCAGCCGAGCGGGCACGAAATTTAATTACCCCCTTACAGCTTGTAGTAGGCGGGACGGATATTTAAGCCGGATTATCTGACAGTAATCTAGTGAGACTCCCCACGGGGATAGATCGATCTAAAATATATGGGAATGCGCCCTTAGTGCACTAGGCCTATATGTTATTTTCCAACTTAAAATTTCTGCTTATGCCAAATACATATTAATGATATCCCAATCATTTTTTTGTGGACGTTTGAGGTCGTTAATTAGACAGACCCTGCCTGTATGTTGAATTCAGCACGGTAGACCGTTTGTTTTATGTTGTGCATCCTTTATTAAACATGTGTAAAACAGCTTGAAAGGAGTCGAGGTTATACGCATATTTTGCCCTTACAATAACAACCCTTAGACGTACTAGATTCGTACATTTTTTTTTTGTTAATTCAAAGCCATTAAATCAATGTTCTGGGTGTCCCCCGTAATTACACATTGCACGGCGACATACCTGGCGGCACTATCTTGTTTTATTAACGCCGTTATTATTGTCAGTGCCTACAAGGAACGCGGTCACGGCCCGTCAGTGTGTCACAGCTTCATCGGTAGTCACCCCGTCACCCGGGGACACAAGATGTATGATGTTCACGCATATTTAAGTGTTTCTACTGTCAAAGATTCAAGTCAGCTTAATACAGTTGCTTTATTTATATGGTAAGCGACTGCTCATTATTTCATGATGTTTTTTTTATATAGGAGGATAATAAAAAACTTGTTGATACCAAACGTATATTTTGCTTGCGGCCCCTTCTTGAACTCTGAAATATATATATATATATATATATATATATATATATATATATATATATATATATATAGTTTGTTACGCAGAAAAGTCACTTGGGGCGCCATCAACTCAGTGCAATATGCATTACGCCACTCCTTTTTCTTAAGCCCAAGTTACATTTGCCACGGGTGCCGTATAGTATTTAAAAGGTTAACAAAAGTGTTAGATTAACAAAAGTGTTCAGCCATCATCACGATCCCCGAAAGTCCACCGTACATACTAGTATATAACTTACTGTTCTTTCTATGAATTTAAACATTAAGTAAAATAACAAAGATGTTCATAATATTGTTTTATTTTAAATGCAAATGTTTATTCTAGGTGATATTCTTACATCATTAAACCGACCTACAAAATTAACGAATAAATGCATGGAAATCAAAATTCGAAATTATCTCTCACTAAAGGCGTATTCCCATAGATTTTAGATCGATCCTTCCCCGTGAGGAGTCTCACTAGATTACTGTCAGATAATCCGGCTTATATGTCCGTCCCGCCTACTACAAGCTGTAAGGGGGTAATTAACTTTCGTACCCGCTCGGCTGACAGCTATTTAGCATGAACCCCCAGGTCGATCTAGTTTGGATCGATCTAATCTCTGGTCTAAGAGACACAGTGTGCTCGACGACACTTCTAATCATTAGTCATTTCAAGTAAACTCAGAAGTATTGTCATTTTACATACAGTTAATTACTAGCCCCGTGATAATATGATTCTACAGGTGTGCGCATTTGTTTAAATATGGTCTCAAAATTTAAAATGTACAATAGGTAAGCTACCGTGTCGTTAATTACACTTTCTTTATTTGGGCCATAAACCAATTTAAATGATACAACTAACCAGAATAATGTATAGTCTTAGCACAATCCACACTCGTTAGAGAGTAATGCAAATACATTATTCCACTTTGGCACTGGTATATAACTCTTCGTGGCAAATTTGTGGAAAGTGTCGTACAACCCTACGGTGCTTTCGTTGGCCTTCAGAATCTCTCTGCCCGCCTCGTTCGCATGTGGCAGAAAAAAATCGATGTTGGAATCTCTTGGAATGAGGTCCACCATAGCCTTGAAGAGAACCATGGTTCCGACTGTATTTTCTGCATACAGAGGTCCAAGGTAGAAACCGTTCATAGCAGGTCTGATTGATCCGTATCCAGCTATCTTCCCTTTCTCTAACAAAACAAGCGATTTTGCCGTTGTTTGGCCGAGCCAAATCTTCAGCATTTCCGGTCTTGGTACCACGTGGTATGTCGTATCATAATTAATGAGGTCCGCCTGGTCAATATGTCTAAAGTCAATTGTATGGTATTTTTGTTCCGTATCTGGCGGAAGAGAGATGTTCTTGAAGACGCCGTAATATTTTCCTCCCGTGCCTCCTTTAGAAAGCGGGGCGCCGCAGTACTTTTCATATGTATCTAACATATACGAAATGGAGCTTGAATAAATATTCCTGTCCCCAAATTCCTCTAAATACTTGATCATCATTTCAGCACCTGTAAGAATAGCCAAGTACATGTTAAAATCACTATGAATTATGGCCTATCATCTGTTAGAAATTTTAAATAAAATGTACTTTTGTTAATTATTGGCTGATCCAGCGTGTTGGTAAGAGGAAGGAGGGGAGTACAGCGTTGGAATAAAAACATAATACCGGGGTAAATCAGAGAACAAGGGCCAGGACTGTACGACTTTCGAATATATAAACAGGGAATGGACAATATGAATTTGCCTGGATTTAGTTCTATGCTGCTTTTTTCCCTTGATATATATATTTTCGATTGGGGGGGGGGGGGGGGGGGGTAAAGAAGAAATGGTTACTGGAAGGCTAGGGATCACACACGTGCCAATCGTACCACCCCACCTCAGTTTTCAGCACCCCCCGCCACTGATGTAATTCGACATCTGGGTCACTAAAAGCAATGTTTGCTATAAATAAATTATCAGAATTAAATGTCTGGGCATCTTATTCAAACGACTCTTCAAATGCTATTTTGATGGAAATTGCTATAATATACTCACCAACACCATGACCCCTCAACTTTGAGGACACTATAAAGTGACCGGCTGTCTTCAGGCCATCACTAAAGTCATGCGACAGATGGCAACCTAAAGCAAGTCAACATTAACACTTAACAATACCAATCATTTCAGAATTCTTACTCATAATCTATATGCAATTTTAATATTTAACCCATAACGATGCGGTTTCTTTAAGTGCATGCTTGTAATAAAACATAGATATTTAATAACACACACACACACACACACACACACACACACACACACGTATATATACCGGAACAGATGATTACTACTGAGGGTTGTATTGGTTGGTATCACCTTCTGTATACACGACGGAAATGTCTATCCATCCTTTGTTTTATGAATTAAGATCAATGACATTTAATTTTTTACGTTCAATAATCTTATTTAACAACTATTACGTCAGCACGAAACAATTGCAGAGCTCATATTTAAAGTACATTAGTTCTTGAGTCGCAATGTTCTAGTAAGACTCAGCTTTTAGTTAGGCGAGTGGAGAGCAGGTTTTTATTAGATTATGATTATTAAAATAAAGTTGGTAAAAGGTATTTTTTTTTTTCAAAGAGACTTAATTTGTCTTTCTACCCGCGAATGTGACTTTGGACTTTCTATTTATATCAATTTTTAATTATATTTATAAAAAGGTATTCTTTGCCAGCTTGAGCCACTAAAAATGCATTTGCATCGGAAAAAAAGCAATTTTATCATACTTATAGGCATAAGTAATTGACGCGTCGCTGGACTTAGATTCGAATGTTATATCCCACTTTAAATTGAATGATTTAATTAAATTAAAATAAATAATTTAAAATGACGTGCATTTCTGTATATTTTAATGTGTTTTAGGTGATTTATATTGTATTTGTGTTAATTTAATTCCTTTATGGACGCCAGGTACTTTTATCTGAGGGGCCTTTTAAAGGTATGGATATAGTTTTAAAGGTATGAATAGGGGAAAATAAGTAGTTTTGAAGAATATATAAAGAAAAAAACAAAACCATTTAGCCGTGGGAATAAGATCATGCAGTCAATCAGTAATTTGCAATTGAGTGCAATGTTTTAAGAAAAGAAAAAAAAACTCACCCACAATATCTCCCTCCTTTTCTGCAACGGTCCAGCCATTTTCACTTATTTTGAAGTGGGTCTCAATCATATCTTGATGAATATTCCACTTGGCCTCCGCTGTCAGTTTCCAGACTCCAGGGACGTCTTCCATTCTTCCTCGACGTATAGTGACCTCTTGGCTCCCCTCCCTGTCTGAAGTAAAGAAACGCTGAGACACAGGTCTGGGCTGGTCGAGACTGCGACTTAAAGGGACTACTTTTTCCAACGATGGGCGTTCATCGAGCAGTCTACTGAAAAGGCGAGAAAATACCGCAGGTTTTCTGATCATTCGTGTAAACATCCTCTGTCCACGTTGTTGAGTAATATTAATCCCCGATAACTTAATAATATTTTTTAAGTTGTTAAGGGGAATGCTCCACTTAACTGCAATGTAGAGTGATACTAAACCAAACTCAACCTCTGACAATCCATCAGTCTCTCAAGAGGAAAGTGTTCTAGCACGATACCCATCTCAGTGATATATATGTAGAATACAATTGCTTTGCGCTGGATAAAATATGTCACATGACCAATTTAACCACATCCCTTGTCATAAAACCGGTTCACTTTAAGAGCCTTCACTCAAGCTACCTGTCAGGTGATTTATGACAAAAATATCTATCTTCACAATAATTCTGGAATTTAACAGAATTCATTCTGGATTTGAGTGGGGCTAAAAAGAATGTCACCCATTCTTCTTCTTCTTCTTCTTCTTCTTCTTATTCTTATTATTGTTGTTGTTGTTGTTGTTGTTACAAGGTCACTAGATTGTGAATGCAGGTTTGGATTTTTATATGAAAAAAAGGATCCACTAAAAGATCGAACTCGTCAATAATCGTATTTTGTTATAATTGTTATAACTAATATTATTAGTTTGCATATCATCACGGCTGTCACAGGTTTAAGCATTTTTGTATAAAGTCTTTTCATGGATCGATCTAAATCTATGGGAATGCACTCTTAAATACTTATAGCCGAGGAACGGCCCACAGTGTTGATATCAGGGCCCCGTAACTCGAAAGCAACCGAAAGCGACCGAGCGCAAGTGTCTCGATTCCAAAACTCGCCCATACTCGCCCCATATAATGCATTGTAGCCTCCTGACTTCAGGTGAGCTGTGCTTTGAAATGGTTGGGTGACTCGTTATTCAACAGGCGGGGGAGTAGGCAGAATGCCCAACGTTCGGAAAAGTCTTTCGATTTATAGAAAGACCCTGGTTGAATAGACCGCATGACAAATAGAATAGCAAGAGAGTACGGGTCACTTACATGTATACGCCCAGTTCCTTTTTACCTCTACAAGAAGAAACTAGTAGCATTCCATCGATTGAAAAAGGTGGACCATATCCTAAAGAACTTTAGACTATACAGCAGTCCAGAATTAGTCAACGACGATAACAGAAATGTTTGGTAATACAGTGCGAAGACATGTGACGATTTCACGCTTTTTCAATGCTGTGAGCAATGAACGTCTGTCTTCGGTCTTAGTTGGAGATCCATTTTGCAGACTCCGGACACAGAGACCTGTGTTTCAGCGTCCTTTAACTTCGACCACGGAGGGGATCCAAGGGGTCACTATACGCCGAGGAAGAATAGAAGACGTCCCTGGGGTGTGGCAACTTTCAGAAGAAGCCATGTGGAATACACATCAAGACATGATTGAAACCCTCTTCAAAATGTGTGAAAATGGCTGGACTGTCGCGGAAAAGGACGGAAATGTTGTGGGTCAGTATTATTTCTACAAACATTACCCTCAAATAATTGATTTATGTCTACACGTGTAATGTTTTTGTTTTTTGTTTTTTTTTGTTTATTTATTTATTCATTTATTATTATTTTTTTTTTTTTTTTGGGGGGGGAGTATTATTGTCCGAGTAAATTATGATAAAAATTGATATGTTGAATGGTTGAAACATCATGTCTCATGGATAGAATACACGATCAATCTCTATTTTAGGTACAGTTTATAGCGTATTAACGATGATAATTTATTTGTAGGTTGTTGTTTGACACACGACTTTAATGATGACCTGACTACAGGGGGTCACTTTATAGTGTCGCCAAAGATGCGCGGTTATGGTGTAGGTAAGAGCGTTAAATCGAGTTCCAGTAAAAACACATTTCCAACCAGTAGTCAACTATATAAGTTATATACGTTTATACATATCGCCATTTTTCCACTTTCAAATTGTACGTGACATATGGTGGTATTGCCAACCCTTTAACAGCTACATTTGAAATCTGTTAGACCAAGGAGTTATAACACTCCTTGGTAAGACAATGAATAACAACTTAAATAGTTATGGCTACAATTACAATTAAGCTTCGCTTAATTATCTCAGCTTTGTGTCAATAAACCGCATGATGACCGAAACACAAAGTCTAGAACTATTTTGTTATGATTGCGAATTTTGAAATGAAGACCCAAGTGTTCAATTGTTTAGAGTTTAATCTGTTAAATTGTGGAGTGTGGCGCGTGGGGAGCCGATGAGACCATAAGAGGATTAGGAGGCCTTACTTTCAAGTGGGTCTACTATATTTGCTCCGCAGATGTGTAAGTCCGTATATCAGCGTGTTCTGAATGCGCTGTTATAGTTAGTTCTTATAGTATACATACTGCTAACAGAAAGAATATTTTGATTTTCTCCTGTGGTTTTATTTCATTGTAGGGGGACAAATACTGAGAAACATTGCAGAGGAATATGGCGAAAGAAATATTCATTTTAGTTCCATTTCGTACATGATAGATACATATGAAAGATACAACGGTGCTCCGCTCTCTCGTGGAGACACGGGAGGAAAATATTTCGGCGTCTTCAAGGACATCCCTCTTCCACCGGATGCCTTACGCAAATACCATCTATCTGACCTGCGCCAAGTTGAACTGTCGGACCTCATTGAATATGATACGTCATTCCACGTGGTACCAAGACCAGAAATGCTGAAGATTTGGCTTGGCCAAACAACGGCAGAAACGCTCGTCTTGTTGGAGAAGGGAAAGATAGCCGGTTACGGATCAATCAGGCCTGCTATGAACGGTTTCTACCTTGGACCCCTCTATGCAGAAAATACGATCGGAACCCTGGTTCTCTTCAAGGCTTTGGTGGACCTCATTCCACGAGATTCCAACGTCGATTTTTTTCTGCCACATGCGAACGAAGCAGGTCAACTGATTCTGAAGGCCAACGAAAACACCGTAGGTTTGTACGACACTTTTCACAAATGTGCTAGGAAAAGTTATATTCCAGTACTAAAATGGAATAATGTATTTGCATTACTCTTTAACGAGTGCGGACTGTGCTAAGTTTATAAATTCATTCTGTCTCCTTTTATTAGTTTGTTTTTGGAATTGGTTTAATTATCTTATTATCTCTTTCTGTTTGTATGCAATTGACATTATTTCAATTGATTGTGTCATTGAAGGGGTCTCAAATCAATCAACATGAATGGACTTATTGATTTAATAATCATGTATCATTGAGGCCTCTTTGTTGCCCAAATTATTGAAGTGTATAATGTCACAGTAATCCCATTTGTTCATTGCGTTATTCTAAAGTTAATGTCAGTTTTGGAGTAATTTCACGACCAAAACCTCAACTGACTGTCATATTTCATTAACTAGACTAATAATGACATTTAGCATTTATAGATTGGCACCTTATGAAATCCTTCATGAGAAACGACCAATGTTTAAACAGTCATCGAGCTCAGCTTTGAGTTTCATGTATATAGGCCAAGACATCATTGAACTTACATAACACTACTTGATTTTGATGTTAATATAAGGCTTTGGATTGGTAATAAATAAATATGGTTTTCATAGATAATATTTGACTGGTAATGTCCAACCTTGGAGAAGCTTGTTTGTGGCGACCTGGTGGAGAGTGCTCCCCCACTAACCGGTCTTTAATTATCAAAATACAAACATCATTTTTAAGCATATAACAGGGAGTAAACAAGGGCAATGTTTCTGGATGATTGCCCTTGCGTGACGATATAGTCGAGGGTATTATGTTACAACAACTCGTCGGTCACTGCATGTATAGCACGCAAGGACTATATAGGTGTATTAAAAGTCAAAGAAAAGGCATGTGTTTTTCACTGGATCTTGGTTTATTCACATGGATTCACAAGACACTTAAAAACATTTCTGCCATTCCTTTAAACTATAAATTTCAAGTAGAAATAACAGATTCAAAAGTAAGAGTACTATGTGTTCCTCCTACGGAGACACTGTGATGAATGAAATAAAGTGCATAACTCATGGGGCACCACCCTGAATGAAAACTTGTCATTTATGCAAATGAATGCATTAGATGAACCGGACACCAGGCTCCTCAATCGCAACAAAAGTAAACTAAACCTTACATACCGGCCACCGAAAGGCGATTTAATCAAGATTCAAAATAGCCTTTCTAATCAAATATAAACACTATTTAATTTACTCAAAAAATGTCCTATAAAGTCACTGTCACTTAAATGCAATGCACATTAAACAAAATTTCCTTCCAATAAACACAATTTTCGCACATCACGGCGAAAGCGTCCCTTGGCTGTTTTAACAATCACCTGACGCACATGTCCGTATTTATCAGGAAAAGTTTCCTCTATCAGTCCTTTAGGCCACTGGCCGCGAAAGGCATTTTCATCAATAAGTAAAACAAAGTCACCTTTTTCAAAGTTCTTTGCTGGTCGGAGCGTGGGGCCATAACTTTACTACTGGGAACTGCATTCCATCTGCGGCACACAATCTGTAGACTGATTCTTCTTCCTGTCGCTACCGCTGCACTCTGGACTGCAACTACGGGGTCAGTAACAACAGACGTAGCGTTGGCACCAGGCTCACGTTGCAGTGCGGAGCTGTTGGCAGGTACACAGGGTGGGTGTAGTAACGCATGATGTCGCTTGCCACATCCAGGGACTTGACACAACTGTTTCCATTGACACGTTCTCGCCGTGTGTGGAGGGTTGGACTGAAGACAATTGAAACACAGTTTGTTTTCCGACACAAAATTTCTCCTATCGCTGTAATTCATTCTAGCAAATTTGAAACATTGCTTTATTGTATGATTTCCAGAGCAAAACACACACGGGTCTCTCTGGACTGACGATGGCTGGGACATGTTGGAGTTACTGTTGCTTTTCTCGGCAGGGTGAATGTTAGTGGCTAGTGTAGTGGTCTTATAAGACGGGTTTTGACAACTGNACACACACACACACACACACACACACAATAATACATATCTTGCAGATTTCAGAAATCCATTTTGCTACAAATACGAGGTTTCACTAGAACCTAAATTGTAATGAAATGAGAAATAATGTTAAATCTCTCTCTCTCTCTCTCTCTCTCTCTCTCTCACACACACACACACACACACACACACACACACACACACACACACACACACACATGTCCGGGTAGTAAATGCACGAATGGTGCAGTTTTTAAATGATGTAACTGAATGAAGTGGCGGATGAGGTAACGTATCACCTTGTAAAACGTACGCACTACCGTATACCTCTGGTAAAGACAGTGTCCCTGATCTCAAACTTAGTTATCTATGAGGATCGATCCATTTCCAATGGGTTTCTCGCTAAATTGCTTTCAACTAAAGCAGCTTAGATGTCTGGTACGCCTACTGAAGCTGCTAAACGATAATTAATTACCCTCTAGCAACTTGAGTAGGCGTTACAGACATCTAAGCCTCTTAAGTTGTTTGCAATTTAGCGAGAACCCCTGCGAGATAGATCGATCCGTAATTAGTACGATAGGGTTGGGAATGGTCCCATAATCTTATTTCTGTGGATATTTGAATTAGAATTGTTTACAGTAAGCAGCACTGGTTTCAGGTATGGAAGGCGGAAAAGGGTGCTCCTAAAGTGTGTCTTTCCAAGATCCGCCGTTGCACAAATATCCGGTACCTGTTAATTGTTATCCCTTTAAGATCTAATATTAAAATGAATATTTCATTATCTTTAATTCACCGTAATGTTTTAACATTAAAATATTCACCTTGTAAGTTACAATGTAGATGTTACGTGTTAATATAGGTTCACCATTGCCTCGTTAAAGCGTTTGAACCAATCAATAGAAATATTCTATAAATTCATTAGCAAAGATTAAGAGATATAAAATCCTTAGATTTCTGGTGTGATAAACAATATGCCCGATGGCACCATTGACATTTAATTTTTTTACTATTCAATTAAAAGAAAACATAGGACGACAACAATGATGGATGACAACGAATTTGCAACTGTCGATCTTATATTTTAGGGCACTGACAGTTCGGGCATTATATAATATAGCAGTGGCGGATTAAGATAGATAGATTTTATTATACATTTAATTATGCTATTAATATTTAAAACTTCTTGCACTAGTAAAATCCAACTTTCTTGGTTGTTAGTAAATATTATTATTATTATTATCATTATTATTATTATTATTATTATTATTATTATTTTTATTAAAACTTCCGGTACACTGACACTGACTTTGCACAAACTCTCAGCACGCGAGGATGTAGGTCAAAATTATTCAGATATATTTTCTCTTGGGGGATGTCTGATTTCGATGTCTGAAAAAAAATCACATCAATGGTCCCCGCTTGAAATTATAATTTTGACTAGCTGATTCAAAGTTCTAAACCGTACCAAATGGCAACGTTCCTTATCCGTCCTGTCACGCATGCGCCATTAGCTCCGCCCCTCTGACTTCTCATGAATATTTAATACTCAGCCCAGACTGCTGCAACGTGCGTCATTCAAATCTGTCCATTTATACTACTTCCGCCTACTGCAACCAGACAGCTAGCATAATCAATAACAGCTTGACCAGTGCCAGTATTTTATTATCATGTGCCACTTATGCATCAGTCGGATAGCTTAAATGACCCTTAAGGTCTATCAATGGGACCGTTCCCAGACCCTATCGCACTAACTGTGGATCGATCTATCTCCTAGGTGATTCTCGCTAAATTGCAATCATCTTAAGCGGCTTAGATATCTGTCACGCCCAATGAGGCCGGGTAATTAACTATCGTGTAAAGCAGCTTCAGTAGGCGTGCCAGATATGTAAGCCGCTAAAGCTGAAAGCAATTTACCATCCTATTAGATCGATCTAGGTATGGGAACCCAGTCTATGATTCCATTAATAATTGTATAATTCATAAAATAATGAAAATTAAGTAGCCGTGGCGTGGCGGAGGACTGCACCTTCTGGGCGCTTTTCTAGTTTATTATGAATGATTGACGCACAACCCCTATACATGCATCTGCGTGTGAAAGGAGATCGTTAGAAACATCGCTCATTTCCAATTTGAAAGATCTGGGTCACTGAATCGATGTCACCCGTTGTTTTCCTTTGTAATATACTTCTATACAAAGCACCTGTGTATATTGAAGGCACTGTACTGTCCGCAAAGTCGCATAAGCATACAGAGGAGATAGAGCACAATATCAGACGTAAGTACTGATATAAATATATCATACATACAACTTTTGTCTTGCATTGACATATACCGCACTACTGCGGTGGTTATATATGGCGCAGGTAGTCCGTTATTGCCCGATCACAGCTTGAAGAAAGAGGTTACAGTGATAACGTTCATTAGCAACCAAAGGTAGTTGGATTGTACAATTCTGTAAAGAATGTTTAAATACAGTGGCAGTGCGGGATAGTACGCTAATAAGAACAGTTAGATGTATGGTCATTACATTGAACATATTGGGACGACCTCGTCTCCTTGGAGAGGTTGTCCAAAAGATGATAAAATCACCGAGGCCCGTGTGAGGTCTGCGGGTACCGTTTTATTATTTTTTCTCTTGATAAAGCTACCTCTTTGTCGTCACGTTGTTGCCTTTTCATGCGTTAAATTCCTTATAAATACTTAATCGCTACAGTTGACTGTGCCTGTAGTGCCGTAGCCATGTTAATGTGTCTCGGCTTGGTCGCATGTACACGGGTAACGTACAGGTCCAACAAGAAGGAGAAACCGCATGGTGACCCATTTTGTGGTATCGTGAAATTACAGCAAGGATGACCAAAGGTTGTTTAATTTCGTAATAGATAAAAAGAATAACATATTAACTATGATATCTACAATTTTTAGAGCACAACATTAATTACTTTTTGTGCTACGCTCAAATTAACAGAACGCCCCTTAGACTATGATCTGGGGGTACGGACACTTCACATTCAAGTAACTGATGCTTTTGTAACTGAAATATCATATTGTTTACCAGTTATTTTTGTCAAAATTCTAAAAATAATATCAAACTTAAGATATAACAGCAGTACTTTAACCAAAAGGATACAAGTACATGTATTAATCAAAGAGTTTTTTAGAGAAACACCACAGCACGTCTTTCAGTGGATGCTGAAGCTTGGTTGTGTGTCATTCAGTTTGACTTTCATTCACCAGACTTTAATTTTAACTTTTCTTTCTGTTGCTTGACCTTTTTTATTTATTCATTTTTTTCTTTTAGTCTTGATTCCTGTTTTTGGAGTCTTTTCTTCTTTTTCATCTCTCGTTAATTTGCACCTCTTGTTCTACTGTTTTCAGGATTGTTGGGTTTCTGCTTCTCCTTAACTCTCTGTCAGTATGCCCTAATTTCTTCTCTTTACTTTAGTCTTTCTTGCTGGGCCAGCCTAGGATGATTCTTCATTTTTTTTTATTCTCTTCTATGTTACGTGCATTCAACGTATAACGTCTTCCTTACGTGCTTCAGCAAGATTATCTTTACGGATATTATCTCTTTGACGTCTTTTTTTCAAATTATTTTTTGCTGAAAGTAAAATTTTCAGAATCCCCTTTTCTTTTCCTATTTGGCTTTTTGTTTATTGTCATCCATATTTGATACTTCATTCACTGAGAGTATAATAAATGTACTGTTAATCATGCAAGTATTGAAGTGTTCGTACCGCCTCAAAATATATCATATATATAAATTCATAGAATATTAATCCATTTACAGTTTATTATTTTGCAATTAGCTATATTTGGCAATATATTCAAACCAACATTGTTCATTTTGAATGCAAAGAATAGCATCTTTACTGATATTATTTCTTTGCAAAATCTCTTGCCTGACTCTAATTAATCAGTATCACTTTATCGAATATATTTATATACAATGTTTTTTCTAAACATCACAAGACATGAATGTATTTAATATAGTCTAAAACAATATTTTGTACCATCATTTTGATGTTTTATCACCATTGATAAGTAGCCAGTTATCCAATGGTTAATGTATAACTTGGGGGTACGGAAACTACAGTGGGGGTACNTTAACATTACTCCATAGAATATTAATCCATATACAACTTATTATTTTGCAATTAGCTATATTTGGCAATATATTCTAACCAATATTGTTCATTTTGAATGCAAAAAGTAGCATCTTTACTGATATTATTTCTTTGCAAAATCTCTTGCCTGACTCTAATCAGTATCACTTTATTGAATATATATTTATATACAATGTTTTTTCTAAACATCATAAGACATGAATGCATTTTATATAGTCTAAAACAATATTTTGCACCATATTTTGAAGTTTTATCATCATTGATATGTAGCCAGTTATCCAATGATTAATGTATAACTTGGGGGTACGGACACTACATTTGGCACCAAATTCTTGCATATCTTTTCATAATAAGGGGTTATGTGCTATTTTCTTCCTGCAAAATAAATGTCAGTGTAGACATTATAGAATAATAAAATCAGACAGAATATACAAAAAGTAGGAGACACCAAGGGGCTCATGATTATAAATACCATAGCATTAATAATAATGGTTACATATGCACAACTCCTTTATTATGTTTAAGTCATACAGGTAACATGGTAAATTCATCTTATTATCACGTAGGTGATTTCAAAGTAATATTTGGCCTTATCAAATATGTTTTTCATTGCATTAACAAAAATAAGTAAAATGTGTATCAAAACCCGTTTCTGCAAAATGGTTAAAATATATTTTTTTCCTCAGAACATATATTTGGAAGAACCTGCTAGAAGAGAAGACACATGTTGTGGGAATTATACACCAATATCATATTCACCATAAATCATTGACATAAAGAGCTAGTGCATCATGTTTATGACCTTCACGGCAAATGACCCACCGTAACAGTTAAAAATAGGTTCTTTTTGAACACATAATTGGCTATATTTTTGTATATTGTAATCCGATTATTATAATTCTTTTTTTTATTATTATTTTGCTCCTATGAACAGTGTCTTTGATATTAGTCTATCAGCAATCTCCAATCATAAATTGTTAATTTATCAGATACTTGTAACATTAACCTCATTTAATTGTTCACCCTGATTGTGAAACAGCCGTAATAGCGAAATCACCATTAGTTTCGAGGCTATTATTCGCGACACGTAAATCCCGTTGCAATGACCTCTGCGTATGCATAATTCGTCATTTTGATGTGTCTTTCATGTAATTAAACATAGCGGCAAGTTTGGATTGCTAGTCATAATAGCATATAACAAAACATGTAACAAAAACACGAAAGCTTATAATAGATTGAATCACTCGGTACCTCTGATAGAAAAGCTTGCGGTAAATATTCACCTGAAGAATGCTAAAGTCATGTTTTATTATGTATAAAAATTTCAAAATTAAACATGGATAATTTATATATTACTTGAATAAATGGTTAAATACCTTATGGTTATATATTATTAATAAAACCGTAGATGTTTATAAAGTTCTATTGTAAGTAATATATGAAAGCATGATCTAATTATAGGCACTCCAGATTCGGTAATAATTACTGTGCCTTCAATCGTTAAAAAAATTACTATGTTAAAAGACGGTAAAAGAAATCGCTGGAAATTTAATATATATATTCATGTAATATAACATCGTCTTATTTTCAGGCGAAATTTGCAATAATATCTTGTTGTGTTATTTCTAGTATTTATACGTTGTACACATTTTCTTTCATTTTTAGCTTTTGTTTTAGGCTAAGCCAAAATAATTTATTTTGCACCCTAGCTTTAGGTATGTTTTGGGGTTAAAAATAGGTAACGTGACCTTGACCTTCCGTGAACAATTAAGGCATTCACTGAATGCGCTGATGCTCATCGACATACAGCCAAGCACACGGTCTCTTGTAAGCAAAATATTGCCGCAAATATCCCATTATCTGCTGGCTCAGCCGTGGTATAAATAAAGGATGTCACGAGAAGAGAGAATGACTATATACCTTGTTTTTCCACCCAACGCGGTTCATGGTCCCATGCGAAGCAAATACTAATAGCCGAGGAAAGGCCTACAGTGTTGATATCAGGATTACTGTTACTTGAGCATCTGTCTTGCGTAACTGGAAGTTGGGCTAACGATGAGTCCCGGAAAACCTACAGATACACATAACTCATATTAGTTAAGGCAGGTCGCTTAGGACCTAACGTTCAGTGTGCACCGGACTTAAGGAGAGCTGTGGTTTCAAATGGTTGCGTGACGCGTTATTCAGCAGGCGGGGGAGTAGGCAGGATTCCCAACGCTCGGAAAAGTCTTTGGATGTATAGAAAGACCCTGGTTGGACAGACCGCATGACAAGCAAAATGGCGTGTACGGGTCACTAACATGTTTACGGGTCACTAACACTAACATATTTCGATCAATTGATAAAAAAGTGGACCATATTCTTATTTATAAAGAACTTAAGACTATACAGCAATCAAGAATTAGTCAAAGAGGATAACAGAAATGTTTGCTAATACAGTACGAAGACATGTGACGATTTCACGCTTTTTCAATGCTGTGCGCAATGAACGTCTTCCTTCGGTCTTAGTTGGAGATCCATTTCGCAGACACCGGACACAGAGACCTGTGTTTCAGCGTTCTTTTACTTCGACCACGGAGGGCAGCCAAGGGGTTATTATACGCCGTGGAAGAAAGGAAGACGTCCCGGGAGTCTGGAAACTGACAGAGGAATTCAAGTGGAATAAACATCAAGACATGATTGAAACCCTCTTCAAAGTATGTGAAAATGGCTGGACTATAGCGGAAAAGGACGGAAGTGTTGTGGGTCAGTATTAATTCTTTCTAAAAATGTAATCTCCAAATAATTCTACATGTGTATATTATATAATGTTTTTTTTTTTTTTTTTTTTTTTTTTTTTTTTTTTTTTTTTTTTTTTTTTTTTTTTTTTTTTTTNAAATTGACATGTTGAATGGTTGAAAGATCATGTCTCATGGATAGAATACACGATCAATTTCTAATTTAGGTACAGTTTATACCGTATTAACGATGATAATTCATTTGTAGGTTGTTGTTTGACACACGACTTTAATGATGATCTGACTACAGTGGGGCACTTTCTAGTGTCGTCAAAGATGCGCGGTTATGGTGTAGGTAAGTGCGTTAAATCGAATTCCATTAAAAACACATTTCCAACCAGTAGTCAACTATATAAGTAATATACGTTTATACATTTCAACGGTGGATCGCTATTTTTCCACTTTCAAATTGTACATGACATATGGTGGTATTGCCAACCCTTTAACAGCTGCATTTGAATTTTGTTAGACCAAGGAGTTATATCACTCCTTGGTTAGACAAAGAATAACTTCTTAAATAGTCATGGCTACAATTACAATTAAGCTTCGGTCAATTATCTCAGCTTTGTGTCAATAAACCGCATGATGACCGAAACACAAAGTCCAGAACTAATTTGTTATGACTGCGAATTTTGAAATCAAGACCAAGAGTTCAATTGTTTAGAGTTTAATCTGTTAAATTGTGGAGTGTGGCGCATGGGGAGCCGATGAGACCATAAGAGGATTAGGAGGCTTTACTTTCAAGTGGGTCTACTATATTTGCTTCTTATAGTTATTAGAGTGTACGTGCTGCTAACAGACAGAATATTATGAATTTCTCCTGTGGTTTTATTTCATTGTAGGGGGACAAATACTGAGAAACATTGTAGAGGAATATGGCGAAAGAAATATTCATTTTAGTTCCATTTCGTATATGATAGATACATATGAAAGATACAACGGTACTCCGCTCTCTCGGGGAGACACGGGAGGAAAATATTTCGGCGTCTTCAAGGACATCCCTCTTCCACCGGATGCCTTACGCAAATACCATCTATCTGACCTGCGCCAAGTTGAACTGTCGGACCTCATTGAATATGATACGTCATTCCACGTGGTACCAAGACCGGAAATGCTGAAGATTTGGCTTGGCCAAACAACGGCAGAAACGCTCGTCTTGTTGGAGAAGGGAAAGATAGCCGGTTACGGATCAATCAGGCCTGCTATGAACGGTTTCTACCTTGGACCCCTCTATGCAGAAAATACGATCGGAACCCTGGTTCTCTTCAAGGCTTTGGTGGACCTCATTCCACGAGATTCCAACGTCGATTTTTTTCTGCCACATGCGAACGAAGCGGGTCAACAGATTTTGAAAGCCAACGAAAGCACCGTAGGGTTGTACGACACTTTTTACAAATGTGCTAGGAAAAGTTATATTCCAGTACCAAAATGGACTAATGTATTTGCATTACTCTTTAACGAGTGCGGACTGTGCTAAGTTTATAAATTCATTCTGTCTCCTTTTTTAGTTTGTTTTTGGAATTGGTTTATCTTATTAGCTCTTTTGGTTTGTATGCAATTAACATTATTTTCAATTGATCTTGTCATTGAATGAATGGACTGATTGATTTAATAATCATGCATCATTGAGGCTTTTTTTTTGCCCAAATTAATGAAGTGTATAATGTCACAGTTATCCCATTTATTCATTGCATTTTTCTAAAGTTAATGTTAGTTTTGGAGTAATTGCACGACCAAAACCTCAACTGGTCGTCATATTTCATTAACTAGACTGATAATGACACTTTGCATTTAGAAATTGGCACCTTATGAAATCCTTCATGAGAAATGATCAATGTTTAAAGAGTCATCGAGCTCAGCTTTGAGTTTCATGTATATAGGCCAAGACATCATTGAACTTACATAACACTACTTGATTTTGATGTTAATATAAGGCTTTGGATTGGTAATAAATAAATATGGTTTTCATAGATAATATTTGACTGGTAATGTCCAACCTTGGAGAAGCTTGTTTGTGGCGACCTGGTGGAGAGTGCTCCCCCACTAACCGGTCTTTAATAGCACTGTTTACCAAAATACAAACATCATTTTAAAGGGATAATAACTCTTCGTATGAGATCTATATTTCACAATAAAAACATTGTGAATAACTCATAGAAATATAATATATTCTGTTTTACCACAAAAACGGCAGTTATAGCTATTTTTCTGATATCTGAGCTTGTCTTTAGACAATGTGACCTCCATTGATGGCTATACTCTTTTAAAATTTCTTAAGAGATTTTAACAAAAAACCAAACTTTTTAGAAAAAAAAAATTAAGGCCTAACTTTGAATGTAAAAATGGATTCATTAACCATTGGTAAGTATGGGAAAATTGTTGTTTACTCCAGGAAAATTCATTTTTTGGCCGAAACGAAGAGTTATTATCCCTTTAAGCAAAAATATAACAGGGAATAAACAAGGGCAATGTTTTGGGATGATTGCCCTTGCTTGACGATATAGTTGAGGGTATTATGTAATAGTTACAACTGCTCTGGGTATATGCGATATACAAGGGTGTAATCATCTCGGCTGCGCCTCGATGGTCACAGTCTTGTACTAGTATATCTCATACAGTGACCGACGAGTAGTTGTAACTGACTTAAACCACGGCTGTCCATTGGCTACTCCGCAATCCTTGACATATTTAGTCGTACGTGATTAATGCAACACGCTGTCCTTGGTGCTGCTCAAGTTGGCCCATATACCCAGAAAATATTATTAAGTATTACGTTGTTGGAGATGCCTCGAATATTCATTCTCCCTGCACTGATGCGCTGAGAGAGCCATAATATGGACTCAGAAGATGTATCCGTATCGCAACTCTTTAATATTCCAACTCAAAATTTATTTAATTCAGTCACTGAGGAGAGGCCGTCTATTCGTTTAGAAAAACCCGTTGATAATATCACATTTTAAGAAAATATATCCAGCAGTATTCCTAAAAGCACTCAGCAAAGTAAGAGATGGGCCTTAAATATTTTCAAAGAGTGGCGTACCTGGAGAAATTTTAAACCTTTAACTGTAGAAGATAAAATGTGGCCCATTCCCACCCTTGCCGACGGAGAAACAGCAAAGCTAGATTATTGGCTTGCCAGATTCATCAGTGAAATAAAAAGAGGCAGGATCGTTCTTTCTACCCCCCAGGTGACATTTCAAATAAAGTATTTTAAAATAATTGTATAATTTACTTTCAAAGCACTTACTGCAAAAATATCTAATGGATAATTCCTTATATTACTTGAATAAATGGTTATACACGTATATAAATATTAATAAAACTATTATTAATAAAACCGTGGATGTTTATAAAGTTCTATTGCAAGTAATATAAAATTCTATTGTAAGTAATATATGATTTATGGCCCCTAGCTTTAGGTATGTTTGGAGTTAAAAATCGGTAACGTGACCTTAATCTTCCGTGAACAATTTTAATTAAAAGGCATTCACTGAATATGCTGATGCTCATCGACATACAGCCAAGCACACTGTCTCTTGTAAGCAAAATACTGCCGCAATTATCCCATTATCTGCTGGCTCAGACGTGGTATAAATAAAGCATGTCACGAGAAGAGAGAATGATTATATATCTTGTTTTTCCACCCACCCGGTTCATGGTCCCGTGCGTCTCAAATACTTATAGCCGAGGAAGGGCCCACAGTGTTGATATCAGGATTACTGTTACTTGAGCATCTGTCTAGCGTAACTGGAAGTTAGGCTAAAGACGAGCTCCAGAAAACCTGCAGAGACACATAACTCAGGTAAGTTAAGGCAGGAAGCTTAGGACGTAACGTTCAGTGTGCACCGGACTTAAGGAGAGCTGTGGTTTCAAATGGTTGGGTGACGCGTTATTCACCAGGCGGGGGAGTAGGCAGGATTCCCAACGCTCGGAAAAGTCTTTGGATGTATAGAAAGCCCCTGGTTGGACAGACCGCATGACAAGTAAAATAGCGAGTACGGGTCACTAACATGTTTACGCCCAGTTCCTTTTTCCTCTACAAGAAGAAATAAGTAGCATTCGATCAACTGAAAAAAAAAAGTGGACCATATTCTCATTTATAAAGAACTTTAGACTATACAGCAATCAAGAATTAGTCAAAGAGAATAACAGAAATGTTTGCTAATACAGTACGAAGACATGTGACGATTTCACGCTTTTTCAATGCTGTGCGCGATGAACGTCTGACTTCAGTCTTAGTTGGAGATACATTTCGCAGACACCGGACACAGAGACCTGTGTTTCAGCGTTCTTTTACTTCGACCATGGAGGGGAGCCAAGGGGTCACTATACGCCGTGGAAGAATGGAAGACGTCCCTGGGGTGTGGCAACTGGCAGAGGAAGCCATGTGGAATACACATCATGACATGATTGAAACCCTCTTCAAAATATGTGAAAATGGCTGGACTGTCGCGGAAAAGGACGGAAATGTTGTGGGTCAGTATTATTTCTAAAAACGTAATCTCCAAATAATTTATTGATGGTCTACATTTGTAATGTTTTTTTTTAATTTTCTTTTTGTTTATTTATTTATTTATTTATTTTTTTTGGGGGGGGGGAAGGAAGTGTCATTTTCTTTGTGTAATTATTATAAAAATTGACATGTTGAATGGTTGAAACATCATGTCTCATGGATAGAATTTGTCTCAGTTTTAGGCCTTACAAGCGCACGGTACCCTTACCGCTTGTAAGGCCTCATAGCAGTATGTACAAAAACCTTGAGACACTTAACCCAGTAGGCATAGTTGCGTTGGATCAACGTTGAGAACAGGTTGATACGTGGAATTGCCGTTGATCTACCTAAATTCAACGTCAAATCAACGTTGATCCAGCAACGTCGAAACACCGTCATAATGTGACGTTGACTCAACGTTGTATTTTGGTCAATGGCACAACCTTGCAGTTATAGATTGTAATTTAAAATATTAATTATTGAAAACGTGATACTTTGTTTATCAGTACTGTAACTAAATTTATCAAAATAATAACAAAATTGTGTCTTTAGTTAACTAGTGAATTTTCTTAACTTGTTATTCAGAAATACATTCCAATAATTGAATTACTTGCAAGGTCAGCTAACACTAGGATAAATAAGTTGCTGTAAATGTGATGGAGTTAACAGTTCTTGGTAACCTGTTGTAGATAGACAGGTTGAGGTGACTGTGACTTTGTTATATATATTTATATATAAAGTTGTAGTTATCTTCTTATATATATACATATATATATATTTTTAAGAAAAGAACTATATATATTAATCCAAATCTTGGAAATTCTAACTTAAAGGCCGTACATTTATACCCTACATATATTTAGCCATCAAACATGTCCTACTGCTAAACACATCCAGGCTAATGTCCCGCTGGGTGGGGTTGATATAACATTGTTTTCTGACGTTGATACAACGTTGTTATCTGAGGTTGACACAACTTTCAAATCCAACGTTTATTCAATGTCTACTCAAAGTTACGGTTCAACGTTGTTTCAACGTTAAAACAACATAATTTGCCCGCTGGGAAGTACCTCGAAATATCCACGTTCTGACAATCTCTGTGGGTCCTCCGTTGTACCTTGTAGTATGTAAATCCAATTAAAAGTGTTTTCGTGTACTTTCAGGCACGAGGCTCATAAAGTTTTGGTCTTTTTATTTCAGCTTCCTACTGCACTGACACAACAGCACGCCATATTGTCGAACATTCGCGAAAAGGGCGACCAGTTTTTCAAGGTCGACCTCGAAATGGAGACCTGTTTCCAATGTAAACTTTTGCGACTTCTTTTTACTTATTTTATTATAATTATTTACTTATTTTATTATTAATTAATTAATTTATTTATTTATTATTATTATTATAATAAATTGTTTTATTTTTTTATTTTATTTTTATTTTTATTTTTTTCAACGACAAGAGAAACGCAAGAAGAGGTGAAGGTGTACGGTGAACTTGAAGTCTTTTCTGTGATGCAAAGATGTGTTCTCAGAGTGAATGACGATGTTTTGTTCTGTGGTTCATTTTTCATTTCCAAAATAAATAAATAATAAATATTTATTAATTTAATAAAATTATAATAAATAAATAAATAATACATTAAAAATTAAGTAAACGTTTTTTTTTTAAATTTTTATCTTTCCTTTTAATTTTTTATCATTCCTTTTAATTTTCCATTCATGTATTTTAATGAAGGGTGAAAATAATACCACTAATAATACAAAATAATACAATACGTGATTTTTTAAAATAAATTTTATTGCTATTAAATACAATTATTATAAAATTTCTCAAATATTTATTCATGAAGGTTTTAACGCAAAAATTGACCAAATTCGACAGAAGCGCAAATGGATGGCCAAATGCACGTAAAACATCTATAAATTGGAGGTGGCCTACATGGATCAAACACCATTCTTCACCACCTGTCTCCAGAAGTCGCAAAAGTTTA